TGGGGCCAGGTCCGTCGCCTTCATCCCTGCCCCCAGGAAAGCACAGAGCAGGAGGTGGCACTGCCTGAGGGCTCGGGGACAGACGCAGCCCCGTGTCTCACACGCACTCTCCTCTCTCCAGCCCACGCAACCGGCCAAAAGCATTACGGGACAGCGATTTCCAGCAGCAAAACCCCAGAGCTGCTCCCGGGCCGGTATTCGAAGCCCAGGCACTGTCCTGTCTCAGGAGCCTCCAGATTTTGCTGTTTGTTTTATGAAAATGATGAGTCAGTTTTTAAACAGCAAAAGCCTGTGTTTATCTGTGTTTTTCTCTCAGAATGAACCAAAAATCTGTTGCCATTGGCTCCTCTCCTCACGCCATATGTTGACTGTGCTACGGCCGCCAGATTCGAAAAGAACCGTTAGCATCCTGTCTCGGGTGTTCAATGAGGCGCCTTCACTGCAAAATGCTGAATTCGGGCGCTATCTAACAATTGGGGTGGTTAAAAAGCAACATTTTTGCTGGACAAGTCTGCTTTAGAGTGGGAATTCAGTCACAGTGAACCCCCTGTGTTTTTAGGCCAGTTACAATCCACACATTATCATTTCACAGGCTTTCCCTTCTCCCAGGAACTCTTCACCAACCTGTTCCTGGGGAGGCTCCAGCACTTTTCCGGGTCATTTCTCCAATACAAAGGACGCCTGATGCCACTGGGCCCATTTCAAACCTCACTACGGTACTTTCTGGAGACCCGCTTCTGGCTGGGAGAGCCACAGAACATCGTTCAGCCTGCCCGTGCCTCAGTCTTCCAACTGCAAAACAGTGCTATAGGCACACCCAGACCTCACTTGCGTCTTCGACTGCAAATTGCTGGGAAGGAAAACGCTCTCTGCCAGCGCCAGCCCTCATCGCAGCCCTGTTACCACACATATGAACAGGTCATTTCACAGGAAAACCCAGGTGCTCCCTTTTCTCATCAGCACCATAACCCAATTGATACAAACAAGGTGGAACGCGATGGAAATGAAGTGGTACCGGAGATGGCAGCTGGCCACTCTCCAGCGCCAACCTCTGGACATTCACACCACTCCCCGGGGTGACTTCGTGGGAAACAAGGAACGGCTGCACACGAGCACTGGAGCAGCAGAGATCCCATTCCTCGCTACAACAAGCAACGTGACAAAGCTGGCGTTGAATTCTTCCTACCCTACGGCTCCCCGGGCAGGTGGGGGGGGTGGGGAGGGCCGGCCTGGGCCCAGCTCTCCTCAGGCCCAACACCGGGCCTGGGTCTGGGCGAGGCGAGGCCT